TAGGCACATAAGATTTCCAGGCTATCCTCCGGGCACTTAATATGGCGACCGCAAAATATCCTTTCGAGCCACAGTCACGTGTCAATTGAGCACTTCCGACGACTTAATTTGCGGTTCTCCGGTGACTACCGCAACGCCAAGAGTTTCCCGCTCACGCGGCGTGGAGACTCGTGGCGGTGGCCGCCGGAAAACCGCAAATTAAGTCACGTGACTGTGGCTCGAAAGGATATTTTGCGGCCACCATCTTTAGTACCCGATTTTCACATTACAGATGTGCAAAGGAAACCGGTGCTACTGAGTTTGTACACTGCACTGAGTTTCGTCCGACTCAGGCTTGAGTAATCAGTGTTGCCACTTTGGATGTTTTACATCAAGATTTAGATGTTTTTCCTTGCATTTAGATGGCGTTTTAGACGTTTAGATGGTAGAAGTTTTTCTAGAAGTTTTTTATTTGGGGTAAATTTATCAAATCTAACCTAAGAATCAGGATGAAATTGACCTCTTAAATGCTATCTCGACAAAAAAATTTGGCATGATAAGAGTAGGAAAAGGCTGTTCCACTTACCAGCTCCCTGATTGGGTATTAAAATAAATTGGAACAGCTAAAGCATACCAAAGTCATTTTGGATCTGAAGCTTCAACTTCATCATCCAAGCTAAGTTTATCCTGTGGATCTTGTAAGGCAGACTTCAGTAAAGATGAGGACATGATTCTACAGGGTAAGTCACATCAATTGCTATGTAATTTGTGACTCTTTCCATTCGGATGTTTTGTCTAGATGTTTTCCATGCAAATTTAGATATTTTTATTATATTTTTTGACTCCGTTTTGGATGTTTTCTGTCAAAGAAAAGTGGCAACACTGCTTGAGTTAGAAGTAGAACTGAGCACTTATGGGTTACTACTCTTGTGCCGCGATGTTGATCCGTAGCATAAACTAAACTATGTGCTAGTATATATTATTAAATTTAAAAAAAATGAACAGAGGAAAAATGATTGTTTAAATCAATGTATTTCAAACAACCTATACATTATGCAGTTAAAGAAATGAACAGTTTGTCTCATGTGGTTAATAGTTAGGCTTATCTTATGCCAGTCCTTATCTTATTTATGTCAGTCCCAGCAATGCTCACGGAAGGTTCCTGGGGGTGGTGGTCATTAAAAAAAAAGGGGGGGGGGGGGAGGGGGGGGGAGGGGGCGGATAACTGCATTGGAAAATCATTACTGCATATTACCTTCCATCAAATAAATGCTATGAAAAATCACCATGACATCACTTTCCAACAAATAATGGTTATGAAAAATCACCATGACATCACTTTCCAACAAATAATGGTTATGAAAAATCACCATGACATCACTTTCCAACAAATAATGGTTATGAAAAATCAACATGACATCACTTTCCAACAAATAATGGTTATGAAAAATCACCATGACATCACTTTCCAACAAATAATGGTTATGAAAAATCACCATGACATCACTTTCCAACAAATAATGGTTATGAAAAATCAACATGACATCACTTTCCAACAAATAATGGTTATGAAAAATCACCATGACATCACTTTCCAACAAATAATGGTTATGAAAAATCAACATGACATCACTTTCCAACAAATAATGGTTATGAAAAATCACCATGACATCACTTTCCAACAAATAATGGTTATGAAAAATCAACATGACATCACTTTCCAACAAATAATAATTTTGAAAAATCACCATGGCATTACTTTCCAACAAATAGCTGCTATGAAAAATTATAAATAATAAACAAACAGACAGGTAATAATTGGCATTCATAGAAAGAAGCAGAGAGATAGAAGGACACACTAGACAAAATACAAATAAAAAGCCATTTTCTGTATGTGGGTGTCTGTGGTGTGGACGTCTGTGGCTTAGGCGTTGCGAACAAGCTTTGTAAAGCCAGGGTGCCGGATTTGATCCCAGCTGCGGGCTTTGTGCCTTGTGTTGGTTTTGACATAGGTATTGAGAAGCCGACTGTCCAGAAAGCAATGGCAAACTACTGAATGAAAATGTGCATAGAAAAACCACAACAGCAAAAAAATGTTGGGGTTGGTTCTGCAATGTCCAATGCAACTTATGCCCTGTATGAATATCCTGTCAGAAGTTACATAATTAACAATGAAGGTGATGCATTATGCAGTCTCATGGGTGCGGGGATCATCACATATTTCTGGGACTAAAAGAATTAGGTGATGATGAGAGAAACTAAATTTTAGTGATGTTTTGGGGAAAGATGGATCCCAATATTTCTGCCTATATCACATACATATACAACACAAGTTTAAAAACAAAACTTTAATTTTAAATCATCGGTAGTGAAACAACTGAAGGCACATTACGTGATATTCAATACTTTCTTCTTCTGCATTTTTAACTCCCAATGGAGCATAGGCCCTCAACCAACTCAAGACAAGTCGTTCTATCCTTCGCTATCACACGCAGATATCCTCCTCCTCATCTTTTTAACTGTACTCTCTAGCTCCCTTCTGCATGCGTTTTTTTGGTCTTCCTTTATTTATTTGTCCCTGTGGGTTCCAATGCAGACTTTACCTGGTGATGTTTGATTATTCTCAAACATCATGCCAAAAAGTATGGCCGGTTATCACTGGTCATCTCACATAATCCCCAATTTTTCAGATCAGGCCTGTACTGATTTTGGATCAAACTATGCTATGATAAATTTAATTGCAAACATTGTCTATTTCAGCACTTAAATCTGCATTTAACCAATCTCTTAATTTCCAAAAATTATATGATCTTTAAAAAGGGTGCTAAAATGTTACATAGAACCTGTTCTGCTGTAAGGCAGCGAATCTTGGAATGTCAGTGAACAAATTAGGAAGAATTTGGAAGCAACAGAGATGTGGTTTCTGAGATGAATGTTACGAATACTTTGGATGGCCAGAGTAACTAACAACGATTGCTAAAAACAAGCTAATGAAAGTAGATCTCTATATACAACAAAAAGAAAGAGACAAACATTGTTCTTTGGCCACATAATGAGAAGAGAGACATTGGAGAACATCGTGACAACTGGAAAGATCATTGGAAAAATGGGCAGACCAAGAGAGATGATGCTGGATGGGCTGAAACAGTGGCATGGGGGGGGGGGGGGGAAAATCATCAAGAGAGCTGTTCCTGGCAACAAGGGATCGTGATCTGTGGAGACGTATGAGCGCCTTCGCCAGTTGACAGGGCATATGATGATGATGATGATATGATCTTTATTGTGTAGAACTTTGCCATCTTGCATAACTAAATACAGAAGTGGGAGGAAAACATCAAGAAATGAATGAACAGCACTCTAAGAGAGTGTACAACTATGACAAGAGACAGCTGGCTGGAGATCCATTGCAGACAACTTTCACAGTGGAGACGGCACTTGATTGATTGACAATCTGTGTTAAATGTTGAATTAAGAATACACATCACAGCATACGGGACACTCTCATAAGTACTCAGTCCCCATCTTCAGCAGCAAGCAAAGTTCTAATTCTGATGGAACCAGTAACCGTCTGATTGTATATCCATCTCATCCTTACTCTGAGTGTTAAGCGAGGACAGATTCCCTGGTAACTCCCCGCAGCGTCATTCTCCTTAGACAGTAATGATCTATTTTCTCCTCCGCACTGTTCTCCTATTCTCAAAGGGCCCTCACAATCTCTTACTTGTCATTTATCAATTCACCACCAAATGGTGCAGAGCCAGCCAGTGCATCTGTTTGCTCATTTCCTGACATCACCTAAAGAAAATATCCAAAGGATGCCAACAGAGACTGCCTCCACCTCCATTCTCAAACTAGATGTTGTGATCTGAAGGGCAGGGTGTTGGCACAGTTATTTACCCTTTCTACAGCAGTGGTCTCCAACCTTGTTACATCCATAGAGCTGGCCATTTAGAGAAATATTTCATGAGTCAGCTGACAATAAAAAAGAAATGTAAACAGCATTTTATATATTAAACAGTGTTTTACAGTTACAATATTTAGTGCCGCCACTAAGAGGTGGGAAAATGTGATATACCTTGCTTCTGTGAGATGAAGCACTGCAGTAACACCCACTCCTATTTCTTCCTTGGGTTTCCACAATAGCAAATATATATATAAGTGAACATTTGCTAGAATCATGCAATTAGGTATAAATGTTTGGTGGCCCACCACATACTGGTCCCTGTACCAATTAGATAAATAGACTATAACGATAGTCCCAATGCCCCCTTAACAAGCATGTCGTAAAAGTTGACTTATTAGGGGTGCTTCTTTAGAAGTCACATTGCATCTGCCTGAGAGGCGAGGAACTAACAGTCTGCATACAGATAAGTTAGATATGTAAAACACATGCTTGGCAGTCAACTGTACCATTCCTGGGTCACACAATAAGGAACAACACTAAACAGCAACACAAATTAGTTTCTGTGTACAGTTTACCTTCTAATTCCCTGAAGGAAGCAAAGTGTCAAATGTTTCAAACCAAGGCCTGCTCTGAAAACTTGTTCATACTTTATTTACCTGCTCTGAAAACTGTTCATAATTGATTTACCTGCTCTGAAAACCAGTTCAATATTCATTTATTGTAGATAAGGTGCTCTATGGGATGAATTAGTTAAATAGATCTCCATCCTTCTTAGTTGCCATATCAAAGACACATGCCACATGCTGTATTCCCTTTATGGGCACCGATAATAAATAGGAATTGGGAGTAAAGATCGGCACAGCCAAGCATGAGAAGCACACCGGACACATACAAAGTCTTGTAACTGGCACTATTAACCACGCAACGCTAAGGAATTTGCTGAAAGGGGAATCTGAGCACCCATGGATGTGTCCGGAGTGCTGTGAAAATAATTTAACTCATAACCCAATAAACAGGTGTCTTTCGGTAATGCCTGAAAAATTAATATTATACTGTAAGTAATCACCAATTCCTGCATCCTGGTTACATTTGCCAGTGTCAACCACCTTTCTCTCGTTCATGGGAACTGATTCTGTCTAGTGGCCCCACCACTGGCTGAAGCATTGTGCTCAAGGATCAGTTTGTTGAGATCGCTCAGAATATCTCGCCGGGGTAGTTCAAACAGATCCTCCCTCAGCTGCTCCAGAGAATAGTCCTGAAACTCAGGTTCAAGCAACAAGGAGAAAAAAATGCCTTCTGGATGAGGCTTGTTTTCAAAGAGGTAAGTTCTTTCATAATCCCAGCCATATCTTTCTACCAAATCTTTCCAAGAAGCTGAAGAGTGTTTGCACTGGAGGGTTAGAGCCACGTGACGCAGTATCTTCCATGAGAGCTTTTTCACCAGACAGTTATCACTGATAAATGATCTCAATGAGGAAGCGCTGCTACTGTGACTGATCTGTCGGCCTGAAAAATATATTTAGACACATTGTGGCATATGCAAAGAACTGTATTTATGTTAGTTAATCAACAGATCATCCTCACTGCACATCAAACAATTCAGTCCATAAGCACTCAGATCCACTTCAGATGGTTAGGTGTTGAGAGAAAAGAACAGTGTCTCGGGGTTCGTAGCAAAAGCCAATAGAAAATCTTTAGTGCAAGACAGCCTAGCATACGACATCACAACACCTAGCATGAAAATGGAGGTGGAGGCGGTAACTGCAGCTCTCTCATGGCTAGAGAACAAGATGCATACACATGTCGTAACTGTAACAGACTCTGAAAGCATGCTGAGAAAGGTGAAGACAGGTGTGACAGTACTGATTACATAATAGAAGGAAAGAAACACACGGAGGAATAAGAAGGTATAGAGTCGATTGAGATAAAGAAGGCCGCTACATAGTGTAGCAACCCTGAGGGCATTGACTTTACGTGTAGGTGCGGGGCCAAGCAGGAACTATTGTAGGCCAATATACTCATAAATTAACAGAGGCAAGACAATGAACAAAGGCAACGACACAAGATTTCCTGGAGTTTTTCCATCCAATTATGCAAAGTGGCTTGGAAAACCATCTTTGGCGGGAAAGAGAAAGGTTCATGAACCTAAGAAGACACAGGTTCATGAACTTAGGCACAAAGGAGAGAGGTAGAACCAAGTAGCGTCAGGGGATATACACTACCAGCGAGTAGCCAGGGAGACACTTGCGCTGAGATCTCTGCCAACGAAGGATGCTGTGGGCATTCGGATGATGTCGATACGATGGAGCTAAGTCCATACTTCTGTTTTGTGACTTGCCAGATAATGCACGAAATATTGCTTCATGTTATGTGACATGACAGTTTCTGTCATGTTTGTGCTGGGTTGACTATAGGTTGGCTATAGTTTGATGGTATCTAGACTGCAATCAGCAGTATGGCTAGATGGTAGTCGGTATTTGGCTATAGGTTTGCTGGTCTTTGGACTGCAATCAGCAGTACGGTTTGATGGTAGTCGGTATTTGGCATTAGAGTAGATGGCTAGATTGTAGTTGTTATTTGGCTTATTATTTGTAGAGCAATGAAAGATATTCTAGGCGTCATTCGCTAGTTTATCGTTGAGTGGATTCTGCTGTCAGTTGCTGAGTTTTATAGTGTGAGGACGTTCTGTTTATAACATAATATAACATCTGTCGGTTGGGTAACATGAGATAGACAACTTTGTAATGCTGTTTCTTAATAAACATGATTGTTAGTTGTTATTCTTTTATTCCATCGTTAGTTTGTTGAGTATAGGAGTGGTACTATTATTGTGGTCGACCCAGCCTAAAATGGGTACCAGGATGGGCTGTCCTGGGAAAGTAAAGACAGCCGGCATAATGCTGACCACATTACCCACAGAGTGCTGATGGTCTGTAAAAATATGGGACGCTCTGCCCATATGCCCGATGCACCGAAAGACGTGAAAAGGGATCTTTACTTTACTTTTTTTTACTATTATTGTTAGTCTCTGTAGTCTTTATACCACCACCACTTTACTATATATCTACTCTCTCCTTCATAAGACCTCCACTGACTATTACCTGATCGTTTGGGGTGTAGACTCATTACTACACTCTCCACACAGGAGAACCTATTGTCCTCTTATACATCCTTTAACTATTATTTCTTCTCGTCTGTCTCTCTCTACTTTTATATCTTCTCTTCTTCTTCTATCCCCTCTTTAAAATGTACACCACTGTGACACAGGGATGCTTCGAGCAGAGGCCCAAGCATCACTGGAAAGGTCACGGGCAGTGAGCATATTTTGGATTTTTTTTCCAGGTGATGCTGGCATAGTGGGTAATGAACAGGCGGACAGACTGGCTGGATTTGCACCGCTGAGGGGTTAATTAGTAAATGTCAAGGCAGATGTGGTCAAGCCCTCATAATATCTAACTTGTCATACATCAATTCACCACCAAGTGGTGCAGAGCCAGTCAGTCTGGCTCTCCATACTGATATCTATTGTCATCTGGTTAACTACTCATCTTGCCCTTCGTCCTGAGTCTTAAGTGGCATCCACAGCCTGCAGAGACTCCAGCTGCATCATTCTTGCCAGGTATGGTTTCTTTTAATATCTTCCAATTTACTTTGTTCTGCTAAAGACTGGCAATTGCAAAAGGACAAAGATGCGCATAAGGATGAGTTTTGAGAGCAATGTTTGATTTGAATCAATTGATAAATGTCTTCAACAATTATGGGTGCTTTATTTATATCCTACCCCAAAAAGGGAAATTCACAGGTCAGAGGACAGTCTAATATTTTAAGGGGTGGTAGAAAAGCTGCATGCAGTCGTGGGACAGAGGCTGCATGCAGTCGTGGGACCTAGGCTGCACTCTCTCGAGGGACGCAGGTGGATTGGGGTTAGGGCCAGTTCTAGAAGTTTTGGGGTCGTTAAAAGCATCAGAAAGCCGGGAAACCCAGTCTTACCACCCTCCAAAATGTTAAGACTGTCCTGTGACATCATCTAGGGTAGGATATTAATAAAGCACCCAATTGTGTACACTAACCACAGCTCCCAGGTGTAGCTGAGTTGCCCATGTAGCTGATGCCGTTGAAGTTATTATGCCAGCTTGGCACCTGTCTTTCTCCTGCTTGACCCATCCTTCCATGATGCCCCATGTTGGGAGACAAGGACATGTGGAAGTTATCTGTACAGAAACAAGTATTGTCAACATGACTTGTATTTTACCTTCCTTGTCAGTTATAATTTATGATAAAAGTTTTTCTAGACAAATTTACGTCCAGTAGTTTGCCATTGCTTTCTGGACAGTCGGCTTTCTTGATACCACTGTCGAAACCAACGCAAGACGCATGGCCCGCAGCTGGGATCAAACCAGGCATCCCGGCATTACGAAGCGTTCGCATCAACTTAGCTACAGAGCCGACTAAATTTCTGTACTTGTCCCAAAATAACACCATCGACTTTTATTACACATTTAGGAATAATTCGCTTCTTTGATACCACCATTACTTCTGTCTTTCCATAATTCAAACTGAAGCCCATTCGTCCACTTTCTAACACCACAATGTCTATCATTTCCGGTAGTTCTTTCTGACTTGTTGCTATCCAGAATGTGTCATCAGCATAACATAAATTGTTTATATTGTGCCCACCAACCACAATTCCTGGCATATCAATTAAAGATCTCATTATATATTCATGTGTGGAGAGAGACTGAGCCACACTGAATAAAACCCGTTGCAATGAAGATGATCCTCTCAATTTTAACTTTAAACTTGTAACTGAAAATACTGGATTTAGAAGATAGTAACAACCACCAGTAATGGACTTCAATGGATTCAGAAAGAACAGCTTAATGATCTGGATTTTCTTGATCCAACATCCTCCTGCATCACACAAATCAGAGGAAAAATAAATGAAACACACTTAACAAAAGATCAAAACAATTCAGCATAAAAAACCCACAGAGCAGAGAGAGATAATGAGAATAAATGAAGCAAATGATTATGTACGCTTCTTTGGTCTCCTTCCTATTCTTATTCACAGTTATTAGGCTCAGCTAGAAAGTTCTGGTTGTCCATCCAGTTTTGAACGTTGATCTGGCTCCGGAACTTGAGTTGTGCATGCCCATTCATTTTACAGATCTGCCTTATTTGCAAGCAGATGCACTTCAATTCAAAAGGAAACAACCCTAATTAGTTGACTTTTATGATATGCTTGTTAGAGCAGCAGTGGGTCTATTCTCTTCCCACCTCCAAAATAAGGCCCCGGAACCAACATAAGGAAGCTCACTTCAAGCGACATGTTCTTACACACACACTACAGCTACTTTTATCTATCTTACACACACACACACTACAGCTACTTTTATCTATCTTACACACACACACACACTACAGATTCTTTTATCGATCTTACACACACACTACAGCTACTTTTATCTATCTTACACACACACACACTACAGCTACTTTTATCTATCTTACACACACACACACACTACAGCTACTTTTATCTATCTTACACACACACACACACACACTACAGCTACTTTTATCTATCTTACACACACACACACTACAGCTACTTTTATCTATCTTACACACACACACACTACAGCTACTTTTATCGATACCTTCAGAAGAAACGCAGGGAGCACCCAAAGAGAACATTGGCTGGCCTTGAGGCGACACTGTTCCAAAGCTTGGCGGTTTCAAGCTCGGCAGAACTTGAGATGGGTATGTATCATACTGGGTTTCTGCATTCCTGCTGATGGGAGACAGGTCTGACACGACTGTAGGTAAGGAATGGAAAGATGGCTGCTGCTCTGCATTTGCAATTGGAATTTCCGTGTTTTTGATCCTTTGTTCTTGCAGAGATGGTGGAATATTCCTGATGATATACATATGGATTAATTTGTTAGAGTTTATTCTTGTGATAGTAGGATCTTTGTGATATTATAATTTAATACAATATAAAGTTTACACTTGTGACAGTGAGATGTTTCTAACAATTAAAAAAAAAAAAATTTAATACTGCATAAACAACTTTTATTTTTCAGTAATGTCCTCTATGGCTTATTTACTTCTATACTGAAATTTAAACATTTTATCTCTGATTTGCCATTAAAAGACACAGCTGTATTAAATACACTATAGAAAAGTCTATTTTATGGCTTGATGAAACAGGCCTATGTGTCAAACCTTTAGAAGCCTGCAAGAATCACTCAAGGAACAAAACAAAATGAACGAACAAACTTTATTTTCAAAGGGATAAAAACTGGGCATGCAGGCCCATCTAACATTCTGCCCTTGATACATCATTTCATTCGCAACTTCCGGCCAAAATGGAGATAGGCTTGACAGAATGTTAAGCTTCAAAGTTATTTTTGCTTCTAACAGCGCTTTGCTAATGCAATTTCCACATAAGGACAGTAGTCTACGGTTTTGCTGCCTGAGCTACTGAGTTTAGTGCTTGGTTGCAGCCCTGTGAGCTGTGCTTTTCCTATGGAATGCCTGTAATTTGTGCAGCTGTAGTGTCTTTTTGTTCAATATGACCGATTTACGTGTGAGCTGGTGAAGTCTTTTATGCAAGAATTCTACATGTGTGTATAGTAACCAACTTATCGTGCCCGACTACTTCCATCAAGGACAAACTTCATTTCTAGTGGCGATTGTATTGCTTATTCACCAGTTTTTCATATGCAGCATTGAGGGACATTTCATTTGATTTTCACTGGCACAGGAACGGAGCAAGTATGGGGAAACCTGATTGCGGTGATGTTGAAATCTTGACTAACTATTCACACATCTGTTAGCAAGTAACAGTAAACATTATCAACAGCAGCTAAATATTAAATGGAATTTGCTTGAATTGCACCCACATTTCTAACCACACTAAACCATATGTTGAAAGACTAATAATTGTAATTAACCTAGGGCAAATTTACACTATTTCTAAACAAACAAAAATGTAGGTCATTCTTTTTCTTTTGCCCTACTGCTTTTGCCACAAATCATTGCAGAAAAGAGTTATATGTAGTTTCCTGTATTTTGCTGGTTGTGTAGCTTGCGTAAATGTCATACTGCAATTCTGTAGTGTCTCTTTTACTCCATCCATCCATATCTTTCTTGGCTGGCTACTTGCCTTGTAGCCTGATGTTCTCATATATATAGCATGCTTTAGCTGCTTGCTTACACCCCTCCCTCCCCTTCTTCCCGATCAGATGATCAAAACATTTGATTCTTTAGTGTTCTATGAAATCATTCACCATTACTGTGCCTACTAATGTTCTTAGTTCTTCAGTTTTTTCCACTATATTTATGTAGGTCATTTATGAAACAACAGCACATAAATGTTTTTTTTTCTATGTTTGCCTTTAAAAGAGTAGTTGGCAGGCTTTATTGCGGTTTACAGCTAGGCTGTCATATCTGTGCCTTTTGACCCAAGCACATACAGGATGATTCAAGCGAAACAAAATATGCATGAGTAACTAGGTCAGAGCAAGGTCTGTGGGAAAGAGAAACTAAACCCTGTACTTTATGGCTAGTAAGTTTGCAGGCTAGGGCACAACTATGGAAGTGTACCTGTAATATATTAAACTCGACTGAACAATATAAATAAACGTTTAAAAAGAATTTAAACAGGTGAAATTTCATAATGAAAGAGGGATAAAGCCATTAAAGACTGAAACAACATAGCTAAATTAATTGATAATTAAGTACAATTTCCCCCATGTGGGTTCTAGATCCACATTTTAGGAGAAAAGAAAAGAGGCTGACTGCCCCCTTTACAAGCATGTCATAAAAGACGACTAATAAGGGGTTTCTTCTTCGAAACAGAGGTACATCTGCCTAAGAGGCGGAGAGCCAATAGTCTGCTTACAATCAAGTCAATTTGTAAAATGAATGTGCATGCAAAACTCAAATTCTGGAATAAGACTAAAGTTCAGAAGTGAACAAACTACTAGAACTTTCTGCCAGAGTCTACAGGTAGTGAATGCGAACAAGAAAAAGTAACTTTAACAGAATTAAAGAAGAACTTTATTGGCCATGTGATGAGGGGGAAGGCTTTGGAGAATATTATGAGGACTGGGAAGATCAGCAGTAGAAGAGGGAGAGGCAGACCGAGAGAGATGATGACAGATGGGTTGCAATGGTAGCAGAGAGGGCTAAAATCAGTGGAGCTGATCCAGAGGACCTGGGACTGAGATCTCCATGCATCTGTGGGGATGCATGAACGCCTACACCAGTCGGCAGGGCATGTAATGATGATTCAGTAGCTGCATCACTATTTCTGTCTTTATCTTGTGTTGTGGTTTATTTCTTGCTATTGTCTACTGATAAAGGTGTGCCACTAAAACTGACATAAACTTGTGGATTCAGACTGTTTGCATTTTCACTGCTTTATTGCAGTTAACCCCATTTCATAGAAATTCTGCAGAAGGGATCTAGGCATCTACAGATTTGTCCAGAGTGCAATGATGATAATTAATTTTGATAATTTGAAGGAATGAAAAGAGCCTAACATGTCCCTGTTAAAATTTGTATAGGTAAAACAATCAATCAATCAATCAATCAATCAATCAATCAATCAATCAGGTGCCATCTCCACAGCGAAGGTTGACATTAAAATTGTTCCTTATATTTATTTCAGTAACTCTCTTTCACTCAGACTCCCCAAAACATCTTTTGTTTTGTTTTGTTTTTGTTTTCATGAAAAAGAACATATTCTTTTTTATGTTTCCAGAGAATTAGATTTTCTGGTTGGTTCTCCATTGTCCAGGTTTCTGCACCATACTGCATGGTTGAGCATATTTAACATCTGATGATTCTAACTTGTAATATACTGTAATGTGTTCTAGGCAAAACAATATCACATCTGAACTGATAAACCATGATACATTTTAGTGGGCAAACGGTGCATTTTACGAATTAGTTACTTAGAACTCAAAGCTAATAAATATGTTAGAGACAAAATATACAAATTTGTGGGACATCGGGAGCCTCTCTTGCCAGTGGTGAAACGTCGCAAGCTAGCTTGGTTCAGGCACGTGGTGAGACATGATTCGATTGCAAAGACTGTCTTCAAGGAACATGGGTTGTAGTTGAAGAAGAGTAGGGCGAAAAAGAATCTGGAATGACAACATCAAGAAATGGACAGGACTAAGTTATCATACACTTGTTCATCAAGCAGAAGACAGAGAAAGATGGCTGGTGTTATTGTAGGCTGTTCCTCGTTTGTACATCTGGGTTTGAATGGTACTGTTTCCTCATTTCCTGTTACATTTAGAAGAGTCTGTGCTAGTGCTTCCATCAAAACACCTAAACGACCCAAATGGGTCAAGGGTTATGTTATGTTATTACATCTGGAAAAAAAAATTATGAGGATATCAAATATTGAAATTCTACATTCTGGTAGAAACATGAGGAATACTTACATTACTAGTGAGTTTTGATGCCCCTGTCTGTTTGTTTCACTAGGTACAGCTGTATTATGAGGATCACTGTGAGTGGAATTATGGGCAGTCAATCCATTCCGGACAGGATGTGTCCTATAATTCAAGTCACCAATGCTAGCTGGATTCACTGAAACATCCTGGTGTGTGCCACCTGTCAAACAATAATATATATGTGTGTTTGTTTGAGGGTAGGGGTGTGTACACATATATATATATGCGTGTTTTTGTGTGTATGTGTACACACCCCTACCCCCAAACAAACAAAAAACACTGAGCACAGATTGATTATTATTATATTGTTACAGGAAATACAACAGGGCAAAGGTCAGAGGTCTCAACTGCCAGCACGGTAGTTCTGGGCTCAAAAATTCCTGAAAGTGGCTTTTTGTTTTGGGGGCACAGTGAATTTGATCTTGTCACCTTTAATTTGGCAGACACCAAAAAAAGGCAATAGACAAGAGTGATGTCATCAATGCCATAAGAGATGCGTATTTTGAAGAGACCGCTATAACTACAAGCATTACCTCACATTCTTGACAGGCTGGTGGATGGTAAAGTGCAAGCAGGACCTGCCAGACATGATCTCCTATATATAAACAGAATGGACAATATCAGATACACTGCACTAGTGGAGCTATTAAGGAGATGGAGATGAAAGCAAATATAGATATACACATGGTGCTATTATTATTATCCTCTTCAGTGCTTTTTTCTCTAGAACAAGGCTATTCAACTGGCAGCCTGCGGGCCAAATCGGGTCCGCGGAGGCCTAGCAAGTGGCCCTTAGATCACTGTCAGTTGTACTGCATTACTGACTGAGCTTTCCACACTGGGGCTTGGGATTCTGGCCCGCGATGATCCCTATATTCAAAATTTTGGCCCCTGAGTGTTCTCTTAAGGATGAATCTGTGTCAGGTCCAGCAAATCGGCAGTGGATTTAAGAGTTCACAAAAATCTGCTCTAGAAACAATATAGGAGAAACCATTGCAAAAATGAGAACTAGAGATGAACCATTCCAGCCATCTGAATATGTCAATGATAGTCAAGGCAAACCTATACATGAGGAGGGCAAGATCAGAGAAAGGTGGAAAGAATATTTTCAGACTCTTCTGAATGTAACAGGAAATGAGGAAACAGTACCATTCACACCCAGATGCACAAACGAGGAACAGCCTACAATAATCGAACAAGAAGTCAGAGAAGCAATCAGATGCAGTCCCAAAAATAAGGCATCAGGTGTTGATGGAATATCAGCCGAGGCAATACAGGCTTGTGGAGAAATATGAGTCACCTGGCTACTCCACATATTTAGGAAAGCCTGGAATGAAAAAACTGTACCAATAGACTGGCAAAGAGCCCTTATAGTCCCAATTTGGAAAAAAAAAGGCAATAAGCAAGATTGTAACAATTACAGAGGCATCTCCCTTCTAAGTCACGTAGGAATAATGTTTGCCAAAATTCTGGAACAACGAATTAGATCCGTTGTAGAACCGATCCTGAGCCCATCACAGGTCGGATTTAGGAAAGGAAGAGTGTGTACTGACGCTATTTTTGCTTTAAGACAAGTTAGCGAAAAGACAATAGAACACAGAGATCAAATGAACATCGCTTTCATAGATCAAGAAAAAGCTTTCGATAAAGTAAACAGAAATTTATTATGGAAAGTTCTTGAAAACTACGGTATAAATGGAACAATTTTAGATTGTGTTAGGGCTATTTATAGACAAAGTGAAAGCGCCATTAGAACAAGAGCTGGCATCACAGACTGGTTCCCAGTAACATCAGGAGTAAGACAAGGTTGTGTATTATCACCTTTACTTTTCATAATATTTATGGACAATATTAATAAAATAGACATAACACCAACAGATGTCGATAAACAGGAGGACTTCAATGAGCTGCTCTTTGCAGACAATCAATGCATATTTCACAGTGATAGTAAACAGCTGCAAGACCACATAAACCTACTACACGACAGTTGCCTCAAGCATCATATGAAGATCAATACTGAAAAGACAGAAGTCATGAGCATAAGTAGAGAGCAACAGACCATCAACATAAAGATTCTAGATCACAGCCTAAAACAAGTGCAAGAATTCAAATACTTGGGAAGTATCTTTACATTCAATGGTAAAATAGACAGAGAGATCGAAGCAAGAATCCAACAAGCTCGCATACCAGCTTGCCCCAATTTTAAAACACCCTGCTGTCCCAGCTGAGATAAAAAGACAAATTATAAATACAATCTTTATACCGACATTAGGTTATCAATGTCAGACTTGGACATTAACAAAAGAACACGAGAGAAGACTAACCACCTGTGAAATGAGATGTTTGAGAATGGCTGCGAATAAAACCAGAAGAGATTGAGTGAGAAACGATGTGATTACAAGAACTATTGGAACCATACCCATCGTTAAATTTATTGAGAAGCAAAGAATGAAATGGTTTGGTCACCTAATGAGAATGGAACCAACGATGCCAGCATCAATAGCATACAACATGAAAATCGAAACACCAAGAGGCAGGGAAAGACCAAGAAGAAGATGGATTGAAGGAGTCACGGACAACTTGAGACTTCATAACATCATGGCATATGAAGCGATTGAGCGCGCCCTGGCTCGGTTGCCGATCATCTGATAGACTGCGACGCCTAGCGGCACAAGCAGATTTTGACAAAAGAAGAAGAGTAAGCTGAGCTGAATAGCCATGCCCTAGAAACAAAGCTGCCAGTACTCGTCACATAGTGTCTTAAAGTTGTATGCACTCACTACAAAGTGTCTTTTACAGTGTTAGAAAAAAATATGCTTTTGAAGAAAAAAAATGTGCAGGTACTGTGTAGCATTGCCTATTGCCTCGGAAAAAAAATCCCCAATCCTCACAAATCAACTTTCAACACAGCCCAATTGCAGTGAGGTTGAAACGACTACAACACTAGACAACTTTAAACAATCCACATTCAAACCATGAGGCTTACAGTGGCTACTGGGGTTGGGTAGGTTAACGTAATAGCAAAACAGAGCAGAAGGGAACTCAGAAGTGTATGCTATCTTCAAAGTAACTAATTAACATATTCATTGGAAGATTGGCTAATAAACAACATCCTGTCTCGGAAGCTGAAATATTTTGGTCATACCAAGCCTCACGACAGATTTGAAAAAATTATAGCAGAAGGCAAGGTACCAGGAAGGAGGGGCAAGGGGCGACTGACGTGAAGATGGACACAGGATATAAGTGACTTCTTGAGTATGAAAGTAAATGAGGTGGGAGAACTGGCGAGATCGAGTTTTTTTCAGGCAGACCGTGATGACAGTGACGTTCTGCAAAGGACCTACTACATGATGATGATGAATCAACATACGCTGCATTAATTGATAAACAAAGAGTTAATGCTCAACAAAAGGTCAACTAACCATTTGGGACATAGTTTGAATTTGGAACAGCTTGTCTTGACCAAACGCCCAGTGAACTTGTGGGCTGTCCTTGCCTTCTGTCATAATCATTTACTGAAACTACAAAGTGAGAACACAGTCATTTTTCTAGGGAAACAAAGAGAATCAATTCAGCTTTCTACAATATTAGTTCAACTTGACACAGCAACCGAATGCAATATAAGTTTAATTTGAAGCCATATTTATTAGGTTAACTAAAAACAATATTGATTTAATACAACATAAGTTGACTATAAAAACAGTTTAATTGACAAACATCAGTTTAACTCGATACATCATCCGTCCGACTTGATACAACATCAGTTTAACTTAACATAACTATTTAACTAATACACAATATTCATTTAAGCTGACACAACATTGGTGTAACTTGGCATTGCACACTGGGTTAACTTCAAACTACAGTTTATCTTAACAGAACATCAGTCTAACTTGATAGTGGTCTCCCTGCTTTCTTTTTGACCTGGTGGGTGTCAACAGAACTGTCAAAGAGTGGTTTCCTAACCTTTATGATTTGCATAGCTCTTTCTATAATCAATTTATATGGCATAGCCTCTTAGGACTACCGTAAAGTATGTCTTATGTTGTTGAGAAGTAATGTTTTGGTAAGGAAGAAGAGGAGGGTAGATAGCAAAGGAGTGTAAAGTAAAGCAATATCTAAGCAACTGCAAAATGTCCATGCAAAAAAATTATATTTTTGAGACTCTGAAATTTATCATAAAGTCCATTTATTCACTGTTAGTTGAACTTTGTGAATTCAAAAGGGATGAAGAAATAAGATAATTGTTGGCTATCCTCCGAATAACGGTACCAAATTACAGAGGCCGAAAATATACCCTAACAGGGCCTCAGTCACATGTCAATTGGAGATTATACTTCCGGAGATTATACAGCCACCACCGAATTGCAGACTTCTGGCGACTTTCGTCATCACCGAGAGTATCTCCCACACCGCTATGCGTAGCGCGGATTGGGGTTAAACTAAATGGCTAAGACTCATGGGCAAATAAAATGAAGGAAGCTGCAGGAGATGTGGTAGCTGCTGCTCGTGAGTCCCAGCCATCTAGTTTAGCCCCAATCCACGCTGCGCGTAGCAGCATGGGAGATACTCTCGGCGGTGGGGGAAGTCAGCGGAAGTGTGGAATTCAAGTCGCTGGAGGTCCGCAATTGACATGTGACTGAAGCCCTGTTAGGGTATATTTTCGGCCTCGATAATTTGGGACCGTTATTCGGAGGATAGCCGAACTGTCTGGGCAGCCACTGGTAACAACAATTATAAGATAGCAAAGAATGTGCTATATCTGACATATTCTGAGAAGAAATGAGCAGAGAATAACCAAAAAAAGCACTAAATATGAAATAGTGGGACTGATGAAACAAGGACATCCCAGAGAAATACTAAGGTCAAAGTTGGTGAGATAAGCCACAAGTTTTGGACTGGACTCAATCCATGATATCAAAGTGATTGCACAGGAGCAAACAGAATGGAGGAATAGACTGTGAGCCTTATGTGTTTATTTTTTTTTTATTGTATTCAGAAATCATGAGTTGTTAACCCTTTGGCTCGGTACTATGGATATCGCAACCCTTCGACATTGATTTTATGATAGATACCGTAAATCTGGGAAAAGTGTGGCGTTTCTGCCTACTTCCTGGCATGAACCTGGACCACAAGGCATCTGTCACCCGGTGGCCATGCAGAGAATTTTAACCAACTGAGCTAGCGAGCCAGGCATGTGAGGTATAATGGCACAGCAGGAGAATGAATGAATGACTTATATTCTGGTCGCAGCCATGGAGCCTCTGGGAAGAGCACATGAAGCTCTTGGGATTCCAGCAAACACAGGACAGGAACCGCTAGTCAAGGATCTTATTTTGGGTTATCTTCTTAGTGTTCACTGGCTTTAAATCTGGCAGAAAGTTGTGGTCCTTCCACTCTTGGACTAAGTTGTGCATGCACATGCATTTTACGGCTTAGGCTTAGAGGTCTCGTTTCCACTTCAATGTACAATGTGATTAAACAACTAGGCTTGCGAGGAAATGAATGCAAACGAGCACTGAAACAACTGGGGGAGTATGCAGAGAGGGCCTCGAGCTGCTCTGGACACAACAGAACGTCATAGGGGATGGGCCTCGGTGAGCTGGTCCGGGTATCTAGTGGAAAAGAAAGTCTTATCCCTTAAAGTCCATCGTGTCCAAATTGTCTGCCAGTGTCCATCTGCCAACAAAGTCTAACTTGTGTCCGATAAACCAACTGTAAGCTTGCCTCTTGGTTGTCCAGGTAAGCTGACAGGTCTAATTATGCTACCGCAATGACTATGTAAATACACTTCGTATCTTACAGTACCTTTCGCAAAGTCACCAATTTTGTCTTGTCCCTGTCCCAGAACATTCGGTAATACATGCAGCAGGAGAAAATCAACCCTGAGCTTCATGAACTCAGGGGGGCCCACTCTCTGAAAATGTCTAGGAGCCCGTGGGCCGAAGCATTTGTCGACTAGAGATTACTTCTACTGATGATTGGTAGACTCCTGCTGTACATGCTCCCCTGTGGAGGTTCTTCTTATTCAGACTGTTGGTACCTCCCCTCTCAGGTAGATACACTTTTAAGGAAACAACTTTAATTTGTCACCTCCTACAAATGGGCTGCTAACTGCCAATTACTGCCTTTGTGATACCATTTTTGCAGTGTAGGCAGGGTGGTCTTTGAGACTGAGGATTTAAGGCCGCATGGCTAGTGCTGTCACCACGACTGTGCAGGTGAGGATTTTATTTTGCCCCTGACAGAACAAATCCTCAGCCTTACCAAGGATTCCAATCCGGTTCTCCCGCTTGAGAACCCAGCGTTCTAACCGTTTGGACACCCACTTCACAACCCGGCTAGTCAACTAAATTTACCAAGGGGCCAAAATTTTGAAAACGGGGATCATCACGACCCGGGAGCCTGAGCCCTAGAATAGAGTTATGAGTTAGATTATCTTCAAAGCACTCCGGACATATCCATAGGCGCTCAGATTCCCCTCTCAACATATTCATCAGTGTCGTGCGGTTAATAGTACCAGCCCTATGTTGCTTAACAAGACTTCGTGTGCGTTCAGTGTGCTTCTCATGCTTGGCTGTGCCGATCTTTACTCCCAATTTACGTATTCTTAGAAGTGATGTGGACACGTTGCTTCCAAAATCCTCAGAATATCCTATCTCTCTAAGGGCAATGACAATGTCTGTGTGATCCATGGGTCGATCATCTTCAATTAATGCAGTACCTGCCAGTCTATCAGCTCTCTCATTACCAACAACACCCGCATACCCTGGGACAAATATAGAATAGAAAGATCATTAACACACAGTGCAACTGGCAATTATCTGCTGGCCACTTGCTAGGCTTAGGTAGGCCAGGTTTCGCCCACTGGCCACCAGTACGGCAGTGGGTCTATTCTTTGTTCTCTTAAACGTGGGTTCCGGGAACCCACAGAGGAATTATGTTAGAACAAAATATAGAGGAAAACAAACACTCTTCAAAACAAATTCAGAAAATTAATTCTGCTATTCATTTTGATAAGCATTCTAATGGTTAGTTGCATATTCTTGTACAGGACGTTACAGAACCAACCCGAGCATTTCTGTGGCTGCTGTGGTTTTTCTAGGCAAATTTTACCTTCAGTAGTTTGCCATTGCTTACTGAATGGTCAGGTCTTGGTACCACTGCCAAAACCAACGCAAGACAAACCGTCATTTACACACACAAAATTCTAATTGTGCAACCAAAACCACACACACAAAATACCATGCAAAGACAAAATATATTCAAATATTATGTCTGAGTAGGACTTATAACTCATTGCTCTATGTCTGAGAATCTGTTTTTTATCTCCTATAAAACTAAAAGTTTGATAATTTGTGCAGTTAGAAATGACTCTAAGACAGGTCCAGCAAGCCGGTAGAGGATTTAATTGCTAAAATGTTTATGCTCAAGATAAGAAGAGGAGAAATTCATCAAATCGGAGTACTAAACATACCGTGCACACGATCTAGCCCCACATTCAAACTACGAACAATAGTAGGCATAGTACAAGTAAATGATTTCATAGAACATGCTGGTCATAAAAATCATGATCTATCTAATACAGCTGTTTCATGGTCATCTGGTCAGAATGGAACCAAATCAGCCAGCAGCTAGAGTGTACTACAAGGCAAGAGACTGACCAAGAAAAACATGGGTGGATGGAATAAAGAGACACTGCAGAAATACAGTTTGACATTAAAACAAGCTACACAACTAGCAAAAGACAGGAAACTACAGCTAACTCCTCTCTGTGATGCTGCAAGGCACAAACAGCAGGACAAAAAAGAAGAAAGAAGACAATCATACTAAATAAGAGTGCGCCCAGAACTCTGTATTCAGAAAGAGATGGTTCTTTCCTTACGGCTGCCCTGGTAAAAACAGGCAGTCATGTTTGATCGTTGTTGAAATTTTACTTCAGTTATAAAGGATTCACTTATGTGCCTCATTTATGTAATAGTTACCGTAGTATGCACTTGACGAGATACAGCAAAATATGCCAGGCAATAAATTGTGCAATCTATTGTTTGTGTCTTCTTTGTTCAATTTTACAACGGGGAAACATTGCTTTAAATAAGAGTATTTTAAAAGAAATTACCATCATCAAAAAGAGACATCTCTCGTGACAAAGGTGGAGCATTGTTTAATTCGCTTAACAGGGCTGCAGATTTTATCGATGTTTCTTCGTCATGCTCGATAGCACTGGCAGTTACATTCAGTGATGCCTGACCACTGTCTACAGTTGCTGGACTTAGTGAAATCTCTGCCATTTTGTTAGCTACATCAGCTGGTCTCTTCCAATCATTCTGTTCAGGCTGTCTTCCAGTCTGCAAGCCTGTGTATGGAGGAGAATAGAATAAAGTAATAACTCATACAATTTTAATGTTACTTTTCAATGTCTTATCTAGGGTCTCTGCTTGATCTGCAAACTTGTTATATGGAAGAGAAAAATATAATGATATACTCTTGACACTTAAATGTTATTTATTAATACCATGTC